CAAGTGCCCAAGGCTAGTCAGGAAGGACCCTCTGCTTCCCCCTTACTAGTGAAGCTGCAGGCAGTGCCTGTGTTGTATGAGGTGACTTACTTTGTACTTGCGGAGTATTGAGGAGTGGTTCATGATCCGTTCGGGGTCTGCACCATCCCGTGGCAACACCACGATTCCAAACTCCCCAACTATCACCTCCATCTGGGAGCAATGCAGAAGGGGACACATCAGATCCTTGTCCCTCCCAAGCCCAGGCCATACTTGCCAGGAGATAACCTCCTTCCCTCCCTCTGCTTCCAGGTGCCTGACTCAACAGATGCACTGCAGTGTTCTGTGGCATTTTCGATGGATCTGAGTGTCAACTTTTCCACTTCCTGCACAATCCCATGAAAGCTTCAATAAAAACATGACTGTCCTTAAAGAACCTAATTGGCAACTTGGTAACTGTTCTGATTGTGTTTCTTACAGAAGCTTTCAGTGCGTTGCTTTCCCTGTGAGCCTCATGTAGAGAGCTACCATGACCTTCACTCAAGTTGAGATCTAGAATAGAAAAGCTTTTTTCCAGATACCCTGATGTCAGTGAATGCTAGCAGTTAGCACCTGTAAGACAATGGAAGAGGGCAAGATGAACCTCCCTGATGCACTGAATCTGGCACTGTTACCATGCTGGGGAATGTCAGCTCCTTGGTGGCCAGATTTTGGTTTCATGAAAAGTGGTTCAGCTCAAGGTTCGATTCTGTTCCAACCACTGCAGTCTGCTGATTGGATCCCAGAGCGCTGACCTTGTAGTGCAGCTGTAAGCTAGTCTGTACCTACAGCTCACTGGCAGCTGAATCTTTCATCTGAACCCGTTCAGAGTAGAAGAGTTGATTATTAGGCCATATGTTTCCTTCAACAAGCAGAGACTTGCTTTTTGAAAAAGGAAAACTAAGCTTTGCCTCTTATCAATCTGCTGAGTTTACTGTTGGGTTTCAAGCTTGTTTCCTGACTCTGCTTGGGACCTGATGATATAAATCATTCCTGCCAGCCTAATACAGGATTTATCATTGCTCCTTTTGTCCTCTCATCCTGGGACTTATTTTCCCGCAGTGGTGTTGACACCATTCTGTTTCCTTTGTTGGGTTCTGTTCTAATAACCCCTCTAGAGCAGTGTAGTGGATGATCGTGTAGCAGTCCAACCTGTTACAGATGCTGATGTTATTTCATATCATCGCTTGAATCAAAGCTCAGCCATAAATCTCATTATTTCCACTGAGACAGGTAAATTAATACATGGGCTCTACACTGCTGCCCTTAGCTTTAGCATTTGAACATCTTCCACAAAATCAATTTAATAAAATCCCTGATGGACAACAGCATTGCAACTTTGGCACGTCTCGCTGTACAGGATCAGACTTCTGCTTGGGGTAGTGTCTTATTTTGAGGAGGAAGTATTTAGGTTAGAATGGTTTTAAGACTAAAAGAGGTGTCTGAACCAGGAGCATCAAGGTGGAAAGACTTCCTCAAAGAGGAAGGCCTTGTAAGATTTCCTAAATACTCTGCAACTCTGGATTCAACTGATACCTCTGGCAGATTGTTTCATAGCTGAAGGCTCTGGAAGGAGAATTATTTGTATCCATCTCTCAGGTTTCCTCCTGGGCATTGTGATTTACATTGCTGCAGAGGAGCAGTGTTGTCACAGGGGGTTGTAGATTGAAATTTGGTCCCTGATGCAGCTGGGGGGCTAGATCCTCTGATAGCTTTGAAAATTAGGCCTTAAACTAGCATTGCGAGCTCATTTTAAATCAGCAGAGAGAGAGCTGAGTCCAGGCTTGATGGGCTCAGAGCAGCCTGACCCATACAGCACTCAGGCATCCATGGTTTGTACCCACTGGGGGCATTTATTCATATGCAGAGAGGCTGTAATTCCAGCGCATAAGAGCAGACTTGATTACTGCTGGAATGTGGTAATGACTACGCTCTAGCAGACTCCAGCATCACATGTATCAGCATCCCCACGCTGAAAAATGGCAGCATGGGCGCTTTAACTAAAGCTCATTCAACAAGCTTTAGTTAAAGCACCCCCCACTGCCATTTTTCAGCATGGGAATGCTGATGCACATGATGCTTCAAGTAATTCATGATGCTTCAGGCGCTTCAAACTCTTGGAGCCACTGTAATTAAAACCCTCCCCTCCCCCTACTCCCAGACCATGTGTATAAGCACCCTGGGGCTCATGCATCATCCTCATGTTCAGTTACTGGTATAATAAGGTCAATCTGGATGAGTGAAATGCTGTGATTCTTATTGGAAAGGAAGGGAGAATGTTTCCTAGCAAGCTGATGGTGATAGGAGGCATTTCTGCAAACTGATGCTAAGTGGCCATTCAGACCTGGATGTGGAGGCTTGGCACCACTTTGATGACCAGGGCTGTACCTTCTTAGTGGGAGGTAGAAGTGACTCACCCAGCTCTTTGAAGCATTTACCATGTCTGACAATTCCTCACAATGTTAGCACTCCTGAGCACATCAGAACAAAAAGCTAATCAATAAACCGTCATCTGCTGTTAAATATTAGCTCTCTCCTATGAAAGCACTGTTCCTCCAAGCAGGTGCAGTTTCCACAAAGCAAAGAAATGTTCATAGTGCACTGGCTGTGTTACTGTCATCTGTTACTAAGTGTTTTGTGTTGTAAATGGAGAGAGGGAGCTGGGCAGTAGGGCTGTGTGAAGCTTGGGGTGCTGATTCGATTTGGAGGAGATTTGGCCCAATTTGGTAGCTGAATCTCCAATCCAAACTAAGTCAGGGGACCAATAAAAAGGTCTGAATCGATTTGGACAAGATTCGGCAAGCTTCAATGATTCGGGCAGTCCCCACTCACTGCAGCCCGGAGCTGGAGCAGGACTTGGAGCTGGTAAGCAGAGGCAGGAGAGGGGGACTGGAGGAGGAGGGAGGGGAACATGGGGGGGACCCCTGCCAGGCTCCATCCCCTGCCTGCCCCCCCAGTGGCCCCCATCTGCTCCCCCAGCC